CCGGGGACAAACTGCAACCGAGGTACGTGCCCTTAGCGGGAACCGAACCCGGGTCTTTCCGGACCGCAGGTGGACGCTCTAACCGCTGAGCCAAACAGGCCAGGGCAGAAACATCAATCTTTTGTCTTCCATCTGTGTCCTGACTGGGAATCGAACTGGCAGCCTTGCTGTGCACAGGACAACACTAAACGAACTGAACCACACCAGCCAGGCTTGCCTGTCTTTTTTATTATAGCCATCCTAGTGGGGATGAAATGGTTTCTCATGATAGTAAATATATAAAACAAATTTATTCTTTTTACCAATTTTAAGTGTATACCTTTTAGTGGCATTCAGCACATTCACACTCCTGTGCAACCATCTCTACCATCTGTTTTCAGAAGGTTTTTCTCTTTCTAAATGGAAAATCTCTACCCATTATCAAGAACTCCCCATTCCTACACCGTAGTTGTGATTTGTATTCCCTGTTTTGCAAATGATGTTGAACATCTTTTTATGTGCTTACGTAAGGTTATTTCTATATCTTCCTTAGAGAAGCGTATATTCAGATATTCAGATATAGTTCATTTGTCTTTGCATTGTTTAGTTGTAGGAGTCCTTTATGTATTCTAGATACAAGTCCCTTGTCAGATTTATGATTTGCAGAAATTTTATATTCTCTGTTGTCTTGTGACTTTCTTGGTGGTGCCATTTGATTCATCAGGAGGTTTTTAACTTCAATGATGTCTACTTTATCTTTTTGTTTGTTGTTGTTGCTCATTGGTATAATATATAAGAAACCATTGTCTGCTCCAAGGTTTATCTAGAATTATGGTGGTTTCTTTCTAAGAATTTTATAGTTTTAGCTTAACCTCAATTTGTTCACCTTGAACTGCCCCCTGCACGTGTTACTATGAGCCTTCTCTAGGGACACGGCTGCTCATTCCGTCCATGTGCTGCCAGCCTGGAGCAGTGTCCACTCTGAGCTATTATGTCCCCAGCTGCATGTGCAAGCATTTTGGTTTGGGTTTCATTGAATTATCTCATAGTGTATCCCTGTTATGCTCTGTCTTCTATCCTCAACTGATATCTTAATCACCCAAATTCACTGGGAAATTTGACCAACTCTTCCTCATCCGACTCATGTCTCTAATGTCATGGGCAACCTGAACGACCTGATGTGACATTCCAACCTCTTACTTCCTTCTCAGCCAGTACTTATCACCTTCATCCTGTCCCAGCAGCTTGTTCTCATGACCAGATCTGGGACCTTAGTAGTCTTCAAAAATCCTAAAGGCCTGTATCTTTACTCTGATAAGAATCTCCTCTACTCTTTTCTTCTTTTTGTCTTGCCTTCGTCCCTCCTTCTTCCCACTCTCCCTTTTATTCCTTCTTTTCCCTAAACCTCAGCCACTTCATTTCTCACTTCTGGCTCTACTTCTTTGCCTGTCTGACCTATTCTCTGAGCTTCATTGTGGCCAAACTGCATAATTTCCTTTCCGCCATATCCTTCAAGTCCATCCTATAAATCAGTGCTGTTTTCCCAGCCCTTTGAACTATCCTGGTTCGATAGTCAATAAATGATGAATGAGTGGATGACTGAGTGATGGAGTGAACGGACCTTGGATCAGTCCATTTATTTAACTCTTTGGCTCCTACACAAGAATTGCTATGCCCTAAGAAAAATTACAGCTATACATAGAGTCATTGTTAAAAATTCATCATCTGTAGTTTCAACTGGTATCTCAACACGGTCTGGCAATTTTACATGTACCTAGGCATCACCTTTTTAAACAGGTGTTAAACTTTCCACAGGTATTTTAAACATTCATTTTGTTCTGCTTTAGCACTATGCTTTCTCACTCTTAGCAGATGAACTTGGTTCTTATTCTTCTGAGTCAGGTGAGGCCGACAGGTGGGAAGCTTGCCTGGCGTTCTCTGTGACCTCATTGCAAGTACGAGCGCTTGTGCCCAAGCTTTCCTCCTAACCCGTGGTTTCAGAAGATGACTTGGCCCCTCTCCATTCTGGGCTTACATCTCTACCTGCGTTTGGAATCTTACCTTCTCCACCTCCTGAAGTTACTTGTTCCATCAATTATTCTATCTTCAACTACTTTTTCTTTACTGCCTTTCTCTCCTCAGCATATAACCCCCCAATAAATAAATAAATGAGTTAAATATGTTAGCTTAAAGTTTAAGCAGTTTTCAACTTATGGGTCACAACCCCTTTGAAGGTTGAACGACCCTTTCACAGGGGTCGCCTAAGACATAACAGTAGCAAAATTAGTTATGAAGTAGCAACGAAAATAATTTTGGTTGGGGGTCACCACAACATGAGGAGCTGTATTAAAGGGTCGTGGCATTAGGAAGGTTGAGAACCGCTGGTAAACCAAGACATATGTACACTCAGTTTCTTCCAGCTACCAGGAGTCCTCTTCCTCCTTCCGTTTCTACCCAGCATTTGGAAACAGTAACCTGCATTAGCTGTTACCATTTCTTTGTCAATCACAGTTACATATTATATTATATTATATTATATTATATTATATTATATTATATTATATTATATTATATTGTGTTTCTGGTGTACACCACAGTGATGAGACATTTATATAGCTTATGAAGTGATCACCCACCATTTTCTTATTTAAGATTCATTACTACTGAATTTCCAGCTTACCCTAAGTTCATTGAAGTCCTCACTGTTAAATCAGGCGTACCTATTTTAGTTGATATGTTCGTTATCTTTGTAGCAATTGACAACACTGTTGGCTACTTCCTCCTCTTTGAACTTCTTGTTATCCTGGCTTTGATCACATTCTTTAAGGAAACACATGGACTCTTAATAAAACCAAACCTCATGCTTCCAGTGGTTCAGGTAGACACATCTCCAATTAGGTTAAGTTTGTTTGGGGCAATTTCCCAGTAATTATTGCTGCTGCTAACACCATGCTGGGCTAAATGGGCAGAGGCAGAGCTGGATTCAAGTGTGTTCTCACAAGTTTTTCTAATTTCCTTTAAGGCACTGAGGCAAAGGAATATTTTAAAGAGATTTGACATTGCAATTTTTTTTTTTGAATCCGCACTGGAGGATATTTTTCTGTTTATCTTTAAATAGAGTGGGAGGGAAGGAGAGAGAGAGGAGAAACATCAACATGAGAGGGACACATCAGTTGGTTGCCTCCCGCACGACACTGACCAGGGACGGGGATGAACCACAACCAAGGTATGTGTCCTTGACCGGAATTGAACCTGCGACTCATTGGTCCACAGGCCGACGCTCTACCACTGAGCCAAACTGGCCAGGGCTGCCAGTGCATTTTTAATAAAGTTTTTTAAAAAACAGGTTCTTTCTCGTCTCAGTTGAGGTTGTTGCAGCGTTGTTGTAGAGTGAAGATTGGAAATAACATAAAGGCCTGTCAATAGGGGAGTGGATCCATGTGTGTTACGGTATATCTGTACATGAGGTACTGAGCAGCTAGTACAGTGAATGAAGTAGGCCTGTATGGACTGATGATGTACAGAAAACACATTAAGGACAGGTCTATTTTACATATTATCCTTCTATGTCTCATAATTTGTAAGGAAAAGGGGGGGGGGGACTACAGAACGGAACTATATTAGATTCCCTTATGCACGGTTTTGCTTTTCACAATTTCAGTTACCTGTGGTCAATCATAGTCTGAATATTAAATGGAAGTTTCCAGAAATAAACAGTTCATAAGTTGTAAGTCATGGGGTGTTCTAAGGAGCTTGAAGAAGCCTTGTGCTGTCCTGCGCCGTCGCACTCTGTGCCCTCTGGGGGTGTCTTCCCTTGGCCCCGCGTAGCCATGCTGTCTGTGCTGCCCGCCCGCTAGTCACTGAGTAGCCATCTCTTTGATCAGACTGGTTATCAGAGAAAGGGACCACATTTACATAACTCTTATTATCAGTACACTGTTATTATTCTTTTATTATTGATTACTGTTCATCTCTTATTGTGCCTAATTTATAAATTAAACTTTATTATAGGCATATGTGTAAGGGAAAAACATAATACAGAAGATTTGTGATTTTAGGTATCCACTGGGGGGAGTCTTGGAACCATGCTTCTTGGATAAGGGGGGGTTACTGTATACAGGGTGGGGCAAAAGTAGGTTTGCAGTTGTTCTTATGGAAAATAATACAATAATTAATAAATAATAATACAAGAACGAACTATTTTACATACTCATAGCTGTAAATCTACTTCTGCCCCACCCTGTATATGAATGTTTAGTGCTGGAAGATGTCTTGGTATCTACCCATCAAACTGTTATGAGTGATTTCACCTGAGGAGTGGAAATGGAGGATGGAGGACATTATGGTTGCTTTATTTCTGCTTTATATCACTGTTTTGTTTGAATTTGTTCAGTGAACATCTTCTTCTGTAATAAAACCACAATGAACTGAATATCAACGTATGATCTGTTCTTAGTTAACTATTCCTTTAGCTTCTTGGACTACAGTCTTTGCTTTTTCCATTTTCCTTCTAAGCTTTAGCCACTCTAACTCAGTCTGCCTAGTGGGCCTCTCCTAATCTATCCTGTTTATCCCTCAACAAGCATTCCCGGATCACTCAGTCAGGTTTTATTGCCTTTCCTCTCTGATCTCATGACACCCTGGGAAATCTTTCTTAGTCACTGGTGTCCAGGGCAGGAGCTGTTATTACTTGACTTTGTAGTCCATGGACTTGAGCGCTGTTCCCAACACAGGGTAGAAATTCATTATAAGGGGTTTTTCAGTTAAAATAATAAAGCAGAGTATTTGGGATAGATTCCCTTAATATCAGCATGTCCTTTTGTGTAGCTTGTCGTTCTCTGTCATTTTTCTTGAAGCTCTGTGTGAAGAGACATGTTTTAATGAAACTTTAGTGTATGTCTCAGGACTTTTTTACTTTATGTTGATAAACTCTTCCAACAACTCCAGGAAGTTTATTTAAATGTAAATTAAGATTTCTTCTCCGTGTAAAGTGCTTGTCTAACAGTTTGTTATCTTTTTAGGTTCAACAGATAGATCGTGTAGTAGAAGTTGTGGAGGAAACAATGAAAGGTAATTTGAAAGTGAGGTAAGCAGAGGTATACAGTGTATACGAAACTGCCTGAAGGAGATGAACCTGGATGGGTGGAGAGATGGTGGACGGGACTGGAGAGCCGGTTACTGTCACCATGCTCCAAGAAGGAGGGGTCAGGCACCACCTCCCACTCTTTCTGTCTTCTTTGCTGTTTCTTTATATTTTACTGTTCTCCTTTTAGACAAATTAAAAAAGAGTCATCCACCATGGCAGTCTTCTGTTCCTTCATTTCAGGTGTTGCAATGACTTTTGGGGCTTTAAAGTAGTGTTTTATAAAAACACTACTTAGTTATCATTCATTGAGCATCTTTGTGAAAATTTATGTTTTAGATACAAAATTATAAAATTTTGTCCCTAACTACTTCATGCATTGAATGACCCCATAGAAGAGACATATATTTGATTGGCATATAAGGAAGTTAGTTCATAGTTCTTTTATTTATATTTTAATTGAATTTATTGGGGGTGACATTGGTTAACATAAGTATATGGGTTTCAGGTGTACAGTCCTAAAGCACATCATCTGTATATTGTACTATGTGTTCACCACCCCAAATCAAATCTCCTTTTATCCTTGTTCATCTCCCCTTTACTCTCTTCTGCCTCCCCAAACCCCTTTTCCTCTGGTGATCCTCTACTGCTATCTGTTTTTATCAGTTGTTGTTTTTGTTTTTTGCTTAGTCCCTTCACCTTTTTCACCCAGTCCCCCTCTCCCCTCCCCTCTGACAGCTGTCAGTCTGTTCTCTGTCTCTATGGGTCTGTTTCTGTTTTGTTTGTCAGTTTATTTTGTTCATTAGATTCCACATACGAGTGAAATCATATGGTACTTGTCTCTCTCTGATTGGCTTATTTCACTTAGCATGATGCTCTCCAGGTCCCTCCATGCTGTTGCAAAGGGTAGGAGAGCCTTCTTTATGGTGGAGTAGTAGTCTGTGTACCACAGCTTTTCTACTGATGGGCACCGGGCTGCTTTCCACATCGCGGCTGTTGTAAATAATGCTGCAGTGAACATAGGGGTGCATCTGTTCCCTCAAACTAGTGTTTCAGGTTCCCAAGGTGTAATTTTTACAGTTTTACTAGCAAATAGAATTATGCTTTGCTTCTTTCATTAGCCAATGTTCTTTGAAACAGATTTTTATTTATGTCACTGAGAAATAAGCCATTCCTAATTCTGTAGTTTGATTCCTAAATATTTGTAGCCTGTTTTTCCTTTTAGATGAGCACAAATGAAAAACAGTAATATTATATTGAAATATTAAGTTAAATGAATTGAAAGTCTCATTTAAAATTTTTACTATTTTTGCTCTGACTGGTTTGGCTCCACAGTAGAGCATTAACCCATGGACCAATGAGTCGCGGGTTCGATTCCAGTCAAGGGCATGCACCTCGGTTGTGGTTCGTCCCTGGCCCTGGTTGGGGTCATGCGGGAGGCAACCAGTCAATGTGTCCCTCTCATGTCGATGTTTCTGTCTTTCCCTTTCTTTCCCTCTCTCTCCCTCTCTCTCTATCTGAAGATAAATAGAAAAAATATCCTCAGGTGAGGATTTAAAAAAATAAAAAATATAATTTTTACTATTTTCTTATGAGTGAGAAATGTGCTTAAAAAACAAAACAACCAAGTAGATTACTTCCCTAAAATTGAGGTTTTTTTTTTAACCACATACTTTTTCTGCTGCCTTCCATATGCTGTTATTCAGGCTCATTAATATTGAATCTTTGGTTTATTTAGAGACTGATAACCACAGAATATAAGAATGAGACATGCTTAATCTTCCTTTGAAATTCCAAAATAAAATAAATGTCATGATTACAAATTTTTAGCATTGATAATTTGAATTTTTTTTCTAACTACACCTCAACTCTATCTTGGAGAATTCAGAAGTACTAGCATTTATTGCGCATGTAGAGTGTCCCAGGCACCATGCTGAGCCCTTCACATGCATTAAGTCATTTAATCTTCATGGCAGGTCTGTGAAGCGAAGTGGGTGCAGATGTTATTCTCATTTTTCAGAGAGGAATTTGAGACTCAGGCCACAAAGCTAGTAGTGGCAGAGCAGGGAGCTGCGTCAGTCCTGGCTGCAGTGTCTGCGCCCTTAAGTGTGACAGCATTCACACCGCACTGTGACCTCTGCCCTCTCCCGGTGGAGAGCCTCTGCCTTGATGCCTGATTGAGCTTGTTTAGTGGTGCTTCAGGATGTTTGAGCATCTTGTTACCTTGTTTATCTTCTGTGAGTACCAGGCGTATACTGTCAGCTCTGTAATTTTTGAAAGGAGTTAACGGTAATGAAGATAACACAAGAGAAAAATCTTGGTGACCTTAGGTACGGCAGTGACTTTTTAGGTACAACCTCCAAAGCATGATCCATAAACAAACGCTGGTACATCCAAATGGTGGAATGTTATTCAGTGCTGAAAAGAAATGAACCACAGAATCATGAAAAGACAGGGAGGAAACTTAGAAGGAAATTAAATGAAAGAAGTCAATCTGTGATTCCAAATAACATTCTGGAAAAGGTATAACTATGGAGATGGTAAAAAGATTAGTGGTTACCAATTGTTTTTGGGGGAGGGGATCAGGGGTAGAAATGGATGAATAGCTGGAGTACAGAGGATTTTTAAATTAATTAACTAATTAATTAATTATTTTTATCCTCACCCGAGGACATTTTTTTTTTTTGCATTTATCTTCAGATAGAGTGGGAAGGAGAGAGGGAGGAAGAGAGAGAGAGAGAGAAACATTGATGTGAGAGAGACACATCAAGTGGTTGCCACTCACGTGACCCCAACCAGGGCCAGGGACAAACTGCAACCCAGGTACGTGCCCTTAGTGGGAACCAAACCCGGGACTCTGGTCTGCGGGCCAACACTCTAACTGCTGAGCCAATCTGGCCAGGGCAAGAGGATTTTTTTAAAGGCAGTGATACTATTCTGTCTGAAACTCTAATGGTGGGTACATGTCATCCAAACCCATAGGATGTACACCATGAGTGAATGGCAATTAATGTCAACTGTGGAGTTTCGGTGAAAATGATGTATCAGTGTAGGTTCCTCAATTGTAACAAATACACCACTCTGGTGGAGGATGTTGATAATGGGGGGCCTGTGTGTATGGTAGGGGGAAAGGGAGTATGGGAACTCTATTTTATGCTCAATTTTGCTGTGAACCTAAAGCTACTCTAGAAAATAGTCTATTAAAACACAATGAGTAGTAAATAACATTGTGCTCAGGAGGCTGCCATATGGCTTGCAGAGATATAATTTCTATAGGAAATCATAGAAAGTAAGTTGTTTTCCTATACTCACAACACTTCTGACACCAAATGTATACATTTTCTACACCAAGCAGTTCTGACACCAGCCACCCAGAGTTGGTGCAGCTGTCCTAGGCGAAGGTCTCAGTCCTACCAGACTGCCCACCACTTCAGATGCCAGTCGCCTGCCTTCTGACAGACCAACTCTAAACTGGGTTCCTGTGACCCCTCCTCAGATTTAATAATTTGCGAGAACAGCTCACAGAATTTGGGAAAGTCCTTTACTTATTACAACTGGTTTGTTATAAGGGAGACAAGTCAGGACTGTCCGAATGAAGAAATGCACAGGGCAGGGCGTGTGGAAAGGAACGCAGAACTTCCCTGCTCTTCGATTACTTATTACAACTGGTTTGTTATAAGGGAGACAAGTCAGGACTGTCCGAATGAAGAAATGTACAGGGCAGGGCGTGTGGAAAGGAACGCAGAACTTCCCTGCTCTTCGAGTGCACTGCCCTCCCCACACCCAGTGCTTTTACCAACTCGGAAGCTCTCCAAACCATCATTTGGGGTTTTTCTGGAAGCTTCAGTATATGGACATGATTTATTAAATAATTGGCCATTGGTGATTGAACTGAATGTCCAGCCCCTTCTCCCCTCCCTGGAGGCAGGGTCTGTGTGACTGAAAGTTCCAACCTTCTAAATGTATGGTTGGTCCCTCTGGTTTCACACCAATCCTCCAAGAATTTCCTCATTAGCATTAACTCAGATATGGTTGAAAGGGGCTTGTAAACAACAAAAAAACCTATTCACTCCTCTTACTCAGGAAATTATGAGTTTTAGGAACTCTATCAGGAATCGAATAAAGACCATACATATTTATTTTTATTATATCACAATATCACAGAAAGCTTATTACCTCCATGGTTGGGTTAATTAGCGATGGCTTCTCACTGAGGAGTGTGGGCTTGAGTGATTGCAGTTGGATTAAATTGTAAGGGGCTACAGCAAGAGTTGAGTTGAAGATGAAGTTGATGGGGATGTTCACTGGCAGGTCTAGTTTGAGGGTAGGAAGGCTGATGAATCAAGTCTTAGTAATGCAACGAGAGAATTTTAGAGATGGAAGGAATAATTTTGTAGGTGTCTTTAGTTTTCAGATGAGGAAGCTGAGGTAGGCAGGGGTTAAGTGACCCATCTGAGATCTACTGGATAATCGAGAACGAGGTCTCGGTGAACCTCTGTTCTTTACTTTCTAGTTCTGGTGCTAGTACTTCATCTAGACAGCACAAGCCAGAGACATAATGCAGCCTTTCGCATTTAACCAGTTGTGTGTTGTGTTCAGCATGTTACTTTTCTGAGGCTCAATTTTCTCACTTTAAAATGGAGAGGATTAAATAGATAATACTTTTGAGATACCCAGAACACAACTCATGTTAATGTTTGTCTCTTCCTATCTCCTTAACACCTACACTGCTGGAATAACCTAACCTACCTTTGTTCCCAGTGACTCTTTTCAATCTGACTGTATCTACTGCTACCATTATCCTCCAATTATTTTACTCTACTTCAAATGTACCTTCAGTGGTTGCCTATTACCCACCAAGTTAATTGGGGACTTCTTAGTGTGATCTTAATTATCTTCTACCACATTCTGCCATCTTCACCTTTCTTCCATTAATTTCATACATATACCTTTTGCTCCAGTCAACTGTCTATTTGTTGTTTCTTCT